AATTTACACATCTCAATTCTGAATCTGTCAAGAGTAGGCTATTTTGCAGGATTAATAAAATGGAGATGAGGGACTGTAAAAAGGTTGAGATGGGCAAAAGACAAAAGTAGAAAATAGCAAAACAAAGATTGAGAAGAATATGATGTGATCTGTTTTGGCTCGAATATGATGTTCTTTATTCTTTGGCTTTTTCATAACCAATTGGAATTGCTATGTTATTCAGTTGACATGAAAGAACAACATTTCCATAGATTTTATTCTTACACTATTTTTAAGGAGCAAGCAGAGATATAATTGAGTTTATTTTTAGACTTATAATTAATTGCACATCTTTTGTAATCATCTGCCTATGTGTATCGAGGGTTATATTACATAATTTTTTTATTCCAATGACAGCAAGGTGCAGATGTTAATCTGCTCTGTAAATGAAGTAGCCTTGAATATTAAAGTAAAAGTTATTTGGGAGAAGGTCTTCCTGTAGTGCTTGTTTAACAAATGTTTCATAAACATTTTAGAGTCACTTCTATGCTTGCCATTTTATACAAAGATCAGAATTTTCTTCTCAAAGACTGTTACAAAAATGAAAAATTATGCATAGCAAATAAAATGATAGCACCTGGAGAAGTATTCAAAAAGAAATAGAATGCATACATTTTCCATCAGAGCATTTATACATTTCAGTATATGTCATTTCAATGAAACAAAAGAAAAACAAATTATCTTAAGTATCTGTGGATCTCTTGTCAAACACAAAAAATAAAGTTATTGATTTCTAGTCCCAAACCCATTTTCTATACGTGTACCTTCAATCTTGGATAGATAAAGGCCTCCTTTCATGCTTAGGGAGACAGAATTTATGTGGAGTTTGAGTTAAACATTAAATCTCTGCCCTTTTTTCACTACTGATTGTTTTAATTCTAGACAATTCAGATTAATTTGTTCCTTGATTTAATTCTAAGAAATTTTCCATGAAAGGTATTTTCCACTTATTTCAATATATTTTTATTAGTTGATGTGATTATATTAAATTGATAAACAGAAGTGGTATAGAAGGAACTTATAATCATTTTGTTTGAGACATAAGTATACTTACCTAGAATCAGACATTCAGTTCTTTTCCCAGAATAGACATGAACGTGCCACCTTTATGCAGTTCTACCCTTAAATTCTATTAGCAGAGACCATTCATTTCACCCCTACAGGTCTCACCATTTTGGAAAATATTTCCTACATGTCTAGTCTTATGGCAGGTCATTCATGCTGAAGCCAGTTATTTTTGTGGGACTTAACGTATATCAATAACAGAACAATGCAACTCAGGGCCAATCATTCTCTTTCAGCCCAACTTACAGTACGTAACAGTCTTTATTGTTGGGAAAGTAAGAAGAGGGACCACTGAATATGCCATTTTGAGCTCCTGCATGAAAGGTGGGATAGAAATCCAATAGATGAATAAATTAACATAAGGAGAATCATTCTTTCTCACCTGATAATACTGGACTAATGGCAGCTAGACTTTTATATGCTCAAAGGTGGAAAGACTCGACATTACCTACAATGAAAGAATGGATGTTGAAGTGGATGGAGTTAGCCAAGATGGCAAAATTGACAGCTTTGCTTAGAGAAAACACATTGACTAACTTTAATGTTAATTGGAAGCCCCTTTTGGACTTTTTGCAGGAGATGAAAATGTAATTATGATATATGGATTTGATGATTAAATTAATAGATTATACAAAATATGTACGTTAAGTAGTTTTAGAGTAAGAGGTTATTATATAATTTATCTACATCTGCTGTATAAGAAGTGGGAAGTTATTATTTTTGTATTTCTTTTTCTCTTTTCTTTTTCTTTCCTTTCCATCACTTTTGTGTTCCTTCTAACTTTCTTGCTCTCTACTTTTCTCCTCGATTATTAGTTCTTGTGTGCTTTTACCTTTATGCTTTTTATAATTTAATAAAGGTCTTATTAAAAAAAATAATACTGGACTAATATGGCATGCAATTCAGCGAAATGACTTTTAAAGCAGGTGGTTTTATACATTGCTAAACATCATTATTATGAATGATTAATTGTTATAAACTCTTTATTAGCATCCTTTCTAGGCTAAAGCTTTCTGTGTTTAAAACATAGCTGTCTGATTGGGAGTGAGTGAAAAATTATGGTTTCATTCAACAGCTAACTATTCTGCAGAAAAGGCCGTAGGATAAGAATTAAGATCCAAATTATAAATCCAGCTGTACAGTTGTAAGGTCCTTGTAGCAGCACTAAAACCAACCTTGGTGCCAATGCAACAAAAGCTTTACAACACCTTTGATGTTGAGGGTTTTTCTTCTGAAGCACAGTATGGCCTGAAGTCAGACTAAGATTTTTGAGAGAGACCTGTGCAGCGTAATGCAAGGTAGGCCCATAGGGAGATCATCTACATGCCATTCTGATCTATTCAATTTCAACACGATTGGTGAAATCAGTTTGCAGAAATGAGCTGCCAATAGCTAAGCTAACTGTATGGTTCAAATTTATAAATTAAACTGTCAATTATTTTTTTAAAAAACTGATATAGGTTCAGATGGCAGAGTATTTTGTAGTTTCTGTTTCCTACAGATTCTCTCTCCACGCCAATTCGCAAAAGATCTTCCTAAGATCAGAAAACTTAAAAGAATGAAATGTGAAATACTGTGGGATGATAATGGACCTGGATGCATGGAAGCGTTTTCCATTTAAAGCATCTTCTGTTTAAAAGAGGTTTCAAGGTTATCAGTAAAGATCTGTAACTGCAATTCCTGGGTCAGTTAGTTCTACAGCATATTGAGACCTTTCTCAAACAGAAATATATGTAGTTGTGTTGCTAATCTTTAGTGTTTGGGTGTATGTGTAAAAATTTTAATTGAACTAGATTATAATATAATCAAACTTGAATTTAAGTAGGTTGGAGATGCTTCAGTGTGCTGTTCTTTGCATTGTTCCATAAGGAGAAATGCTTTGCCTTGCATTAACAGGGATTCCATTGCACTCTGATTATTAGATTATTAGAAGCCATAGTTTAACAAAATCCCCTGCTCTCATATATGTGCACAAATCTTTAATAGATTTTGATTGTTACTTTAGTTGAGACCCACACTTGAATGAAGTATTTAACGAGGAATATTTAATGGGAAGTTTCAGTCAATAAATGAACTTGAAATTCAGATGGCTGATCTCACTCTCACACTGAAACAAGCATGTATAGATACTATAGACTGATAGCAGAAACACAGAACAGCTGAATAATTGTGTAATTCAAAACAAACACTGCCCCAACATACTAATTCAGCTTTAAGAAAGTATAATCTGGATTTTAAAAAATAATAATTAGTAAAAACAGACACACTTTAAAATCTAAGTAGTTGGTACTAGCTGGGTCAAGAATTTTCTTCTTTGATATACTCTGTATAATACTATCTATATTCCTGGGTGATCCTAAAACAGCCATTTCATTTGCTAACAAAATATAAAGTAACAGTGTTTGTTCCTGGACTGCCAATAGCTTATTGATCTATTCATTTCTTCCTGGCACTAATACTGAAAATGACAAATGAATGTAGTTGCCTTTATTATATGAATAGCACACCCCATTTAACAATGGATACAGCAAAAGTATGTACATCTCTAAATTCCCTAATATGTTGAGGGTTATCATATATGATACCGTAAGATTAAAAAGAACAAACTATATGAGAAAATCAGGTTTTTTACATTATTACTAAACCTTTTTCTAAAATAGCTGATAACAAGTCTTCTCCTAGCAAACAGATAAAATTGGCATTGTACAGTCCAGCTGTGTTTTTTAATATAATGTGCAGATTCATTGTCTAGTGCTTATTTTATGTTTTGTTAAGAATGCAACTCTTCTCAGAGTAGATCTAGCCAATATCTGATTGATTTTGGTCTGTGGGTATTGGATCATTTCAGTGTAATTTCCGCTCTTACTTTTATTAGAAAATGCTTTTTAGTTTAAAAAGATCTATTTGTTTTATATATGCAAAAGGTGAGATTATTTTTCTACCATGTTTTATTAATATCTGCTATGAGTATTTGTGTGTGTGGTGAGAGATGGTGGAATCTTGTCTTTCCCAATTCAAGGTATAAAAGTTCCCAATACACAAACCTATTTAAAGAGACGGTACATTTCTTTATGTTAATTGGATAACAGGTCACTTCCATACCACTGAAATAGCTGATATATATTTCAGTCTGTGTGCGTATAAACACTTGATGGACCAATATTTCTGACTCAGTCCAATAGAGGATGTGTCTAATTTATATATAGTACATACTTCTCTTGCAGTAAGTTCCATTGACATGGACTGGTTTGAAATGTCATTTTTTTTTTTTTTTTGTAATCATTGTAAAAGGAACAATAGCAACATTTCAATATCTTGCAAGGAAATTTAGTTAAAATCTGTTTCTACTCAAACTGAAAGGTGCTGTCCAGAGAAACTAGGTAAACTTAAGAGCACTGAACTTGATCCTTTGTCTTAGATACAAATGTTCCAATGATCTGAATAAGACCTATCAGTTTTATCAATTTTATCCAGAATTTCTATCTGGAAATTCATATGTAATGGAGTCCATGCGAGATAAATAATACTTAGCTTTCTTGGCAAAGCTGTCCTTAAAAAATAATTGCTAAAGAATGGAAATGTAAATTGCTCTGAAAACTTCAAACATACTTTACACATACAGATTCCAGAATCAGCTACTTAAAATGTAAATGGTGTTTTGCAAATTGAGTCCTGCTTGTCTGAGCTGAATCATTAAAGCTATGATTTATCCCAAAATTGACTTTATTATTGCATTTAATTATAATAGAGGATTAAGCCCAAAAGTATTTGACAATCTATTTCTTTTCCTACTATGAATGTAGCCAGTAATTGACCATTTACAATATGGTTAACTATTTTTGTTTTTGTAAAGACTGTGTTTCTAATTCCCATCCCCTATCCTTAAATTGTTACAGAAATTGAAGCAACCTGAGGAAACAAAAGAAGATTCTGGAAAAAAAAAAAAGGATGTCTAAAATTTGCCCTGAATCTCTCAATACATTTAATAGCAACAGATGCATTTTGTTGGGGGAAAAATAACAGTCCAAACAAGGTTGAAGGGCAAGAAGAAGATGGGAAGAATGAAGAAATGTCTCTAAGTAGTTCTTGAAGTATAGAACACATAGAATCTTTGAGCAATTCTTTATATGATAGCTTCTCAACCAGTGCAAGCTAAGAGTCATACAATGTTTAAAGACACGCTACAGTGATGAAGCACTTAAGAAACAGAAGAACTAACTAAGAGCAGTTAAATATATCAAGAGTTGCTAAGACTCACAATAGCATATATCCTGATGTAATCATACAATAAAGAGAGGAGACTGCATCCTTGGGAAAAGAAAGAAAATGCAATACCTGTAACACAGTTATAACTTTTAAAGTCTTAATTTGCACTTTTATGAATTCTTGTACAGAAGTTGTAAAAATGTTCTTTGACAAAGAAAATTATATTTGTAGAAAAACATGATAGCAATAAATACTAATTCATGCCATGCTTCTGAAATGGCACATTACTAACTTTGAATACTGGTCTTAATGTTAACAAAATTAGTGATCATTTTTATAAAATAAAGTTTTATAAACATTCTAGTCTTAAAATTGTATGCAGCTGAATCGCTTTATTTGCCAAAATTGAAGTTGCCAAATTACACTAAAACTGCTTGGATCACATTATACAACATAAAAATGTTATTTTGAAACCAAGATTTATTATGAATTCACACTTCCAAAAGATACTCCATCTGTAATCTTCTATCATTGATATATCTTATGCTGATTTAACCTGTATTCGGATTTTATCTTGTTATTTCAGAATCATGGAGAAAAGGCCATTTAGATTTGTAATTTACATGTTAAATTTTTGTAATAAGGAAAAAAATGGTGCTAGCAAAGAAATTTGTGAAGGTTGTTTTTCCTACAAAGACTGTTTATATGTGAGGGAAACATCTATTTCAAAGGTGGAGTGTTATTTTTTTCTAGATGTGGAGTATTTATAACAACTTTTGTACAGCGATCTGTAAGCTAGCTATGTTTGTGATACTTCTAGTCATTTTACTACGTTTATAGCAAATTCCTATTCATTTTTCCTCACACTATGATGTAATATCAGTGTTATGTTATTAATACGTTTGTGCATGTTACATTTTATGTTGTTTTAAATATACTGTCAGGGTGGGATTTTATTCTCTCAGACTTTTATAAAATTTATTTTGGAAGTTATTTCTGAATAAAAGTCGTATCACATCTGGATATTCTAATATATATGACAAAATAGTCATTTCAGCAAACATTAATCCATGGAAATGGGTTAATTTTGATTACATATTAAAAAGCAGCCCAGAAATGGACTAAGAATATTTCTTATTTGCATAATGTCTAGGAAAGTGACCTAGAAAAATGTAGCAATGTTTCTGTAGGAAAAAAAACAGCCAGATGAAAAGTAATGGTGATAATTCTCCAACCATTTCCATTCTCAAGCCACACAGTCTTGAATGCTCCAGGACAAGGGAATGTGCAGATAAGATACAAAGTCAGTCAAATGAGTTTGGTGAATTTGCTACATGGGAACTAAAAAACATTTTATGCTTAATTCAAAGCTCTTTAGCATCTGCTCCCTCTTTTGAGAAAAGATGGTCAATATTGAAATAATCTCTCCAAGAAGAGGTTGGAAAAAGCCATCAGCACTGGAATACTAGGTGTAATGCACCTTTTTAAAAACATAATACTCTCGTGCAAGATGGACTGTGAGGTGCTGTCAAACAAGGTGAGCACCTATCATCAGTCAAAAAACTATGCAGCAATTCCATCTTTCCTCCTTAAGAAATTATTGTGTCAAAAAAGGAAGACAGAGCAGCAATAAGAAAATAAGGTTTTAAATAGAAAATGTCTAGGTGCCCATAAAGTCAAGGACTGAGGCACAATAATCACACAGTAAAAGCCGCCTCTGCACCCCACAGAAATCTATTCTTTACCTTGCTAGCACATTTCATGGGTGCTTTCAGTGGAGAGCTCCCAATCCTCATGCACCTGTTTCCTCCCCCCCCCCCCCCCAACTAATTTCTTCCCACTGCACACTCCCAGGAAAATACAAGAGGGATGGACAAAAATGACTTGGAACCATTATAAAATTCTGCTTCCATGCAGGTTTTTTTATCATACTATATCCCTATGTTCATTCACAGAATGTTATGGGACAGCCCGTGATTGTGTCACTTTCCATTTATAGATTTTTCAAATTATTCTACCATTTCCTTGTTTTCTGCCAAAAATGTTGACTAAAGAGGGTCACGTGTTAAAATTATGTGAGCCTGTCATACCACATGATAAAAGCTTTAGCACCTTCCCCATTTTGCAGTTTACATAAGCACCAAAACAGCTGACAAACTCCACTTCCTGTGATGCTGGGATTCTCTCATTCCTAGCCCATGTTTTAAACAGTCTTATGCCAGTCCCTCATTTCAGAAAATGACCATTTTCTCCTCCTTCACACCAAGCCATGGTGTGTAAGCTTCATTCCACTTCCCTCCTCCTCCTGATTTATGTAATCAATTCAGCCTTGATCAGTCATTGTCATATTCCTGGCGGAGGTGTGGATGTCTGTGTCTTAGGAAGCACACTGTGAAACATACACCACTGCTTATTTGGCAGTGTTTTTTAAATATACCCCCTTCCCCAAAACAGTACACTTAATTAGCCCGTAGGGTAACAGCCAGAATCAAGATTGTATGGCAAGACATTGGATAAACCAAGGGCTGAATTAAAGATGTCTATTGCAGCAAGGCTCACAGTAAGAAAGTGACCTCAGGTCCATGAAACATAGTGCAATGTGTGACCAATGTCTATGACACTATTTTGTTGATTGTTGGTTTATGTAAGTCTCAGATGAATGGTCCACAAGTTGCATAAAGCTATAAACACATATACAACAATGGCTTGGTTCACCCTATATGTTAACCCACTGACAACATTAGGGCAAAAGTGTAAACCCAGCAGTGGTGGTGAGTATCTCTTGATAGCTTGCCATGAGCACCAGACAACTACTGTGGAGAAATTTCTACTTCATTTTCGAACAGCCAACAGAGAATTCGTTCTTCCGCGCTCGCCTTTTTCGCTGCAAGGTCACACCGGAGCCTCCGAGTTGTGGGCACCAGGTGGAAACTGCCTTTTCTCCAACAGATGTCCTTTGTGGCCAGAGAAATTAGTAACTGAGGCCAGTGACAATAGGCGGTGTAGTCCAGCCCATCTGGAGTGCGCTGGTTAGGGAAGCCCCGCTGAAGGACTGCTTGGCTGCTTAGTAATCGCCTCGCTCGCTCATTTTCTCAGCCTGGGAGAGGCTACGCCGGCTGCAGACGCCTCCCGGCTACCAGAACCACCGGTAAACCAGGCGGCTTCGGGCCTTTCAGAGACGGCGCGATCTCGAAAGCGGATTCGTTTCTCTTGTTTCCCTCGTCCCTTCCCACTTACACCCTAAAGAACTTCGTCCGGCTGAAGAGAAAGGCGCGAATGGACGCTTCCAACTAGCTGAACAGAAGGCACCGTCTGCACGCGGCTCTTCGTTCGCGCGTCTGAATACCTTACTCGGGTCTCGCTCGCCCCTTTCCTTTCGTTTTTCCCGCCGAGCCAGCCCTGCAGCGAGCTTAATCGGGTCCTTGCCTCAGTTGTACGGTACCGGCCTGGATGTTCGCGAGACTGTCGATTTTAGGAGGCTCAGATGGATGACCCTAACGCACCGGAGCTGACATGCGCTGCGTGCAACACACTGATATACATTGCAACGGGGAGGGATTGCCGTTGAATGAAAAAGGACCTTGCTGCACCTTCCCGGTACATCAACGCCCCCCGATTCTGCCCCCTCGATCTTACACACGTTCCCTTCTCCAATGAAGTTTGCGTCCGTCCCTTTTAGTTGCCTTGACGGGGGGGGGCGTGCGGGCGCCCCTTCCCTTCCCTTCCCTTCCCTTCCCTGTAAACTGGAACACCTTCGGCGCGCGCCCCGTCCCCTGCTTGCGAGAGGCGCGCTTTCGGCAGCTCTCCAGCTCCCTGCTTGAGCTGAGTGACTGAGCGCTTTTTAAAGAGGAGGAAAGCACGCGGCCGCCGCTGCCTCCCAGCGCTTTCCGCTCCTACACGAATTGGAAAGTGAGCAGGGAAAGTGGGCGGGCGGAGATGCGATTTTCCGGATAGTCGAAGGAGCGAACGGCTCGTTCCCTGGACAAGAGACCAAGTGAGGTGCGTTTCACAGGTTGCACCCTGCGCGCTTTCGCTGCTGAGCTCAAGGAATGCACCCATGCGCAAGCACACACACCCATTCCCATCTCCCTTAAAGCAGGGAGAGCGGCCGAGGAAGGCTAATCGTTGCCCGCCTTAATGGCAAAAAAATCACTGATTGAGGGCAGTGATAATTAATCCTCTCGCAACTGTCTCGCCTGTTGTAATTTTTCAAGCAAAAGGCGCTTACACTACGAAGCGCATGCGCACACATGAAGGGAAAAGGTCGGATGGAGAAGGGGCGAATGAGCGTGACAGAAAGCGAGCAAGTGTGTATGGGTGGGTGCGTGCGTGCGTGCGGGGGGGGTGCCTTGAGAGAATATAAACGAGTAATCAGGCGTTTAAAATTGGTACCATTGTACTAAAATAATAAACTTAAATACCAGCTGGGTGATTTTTCCGACCCTGAGAAACTAAGAAGCGTTAGACCTACATTAGTATTTGGATGGGAGACCTCTAAGTAATCCCGGGGCGGGAGTCTAAACTGGAAAGTGGAAAAGAGCAGGACTTCTATACTGTTACTATGGCAGGGCGTATCCATGATATCACCAGAAGCCTGGAGAGACTTTATTTGTGCTCTCACTGCGTTGCTGGCTGTTAGATTACCTGCTTTTCCTCATATTCATGAGCTGAGGCGCACCAAGCCTTCGCGGCGAGGCGGGATTCGGGAAGGTCGGCCTGCTTTCCCTTCCTCGCTGCTCCGAGAAGGTGTCTCGAGGCGAAGCGTCGTCTGTGCCGGAGCGTGACGGCTCCCACCTCTCTCCATAAAGTTTCTTTCCTCTCCCCGCCCCAGCAAACAGGGGATGGGAGAAGGGGGGTCACGTGGTCCGACGAAAAGGGAGGAGGTTACGCGAGGGGGTCTCTCTCGCGCTCCTTTCGCTCTCTTTTTCTTGGCTCGGCGTCTTCCGCGGTAGTTTCAGTCTCTTAACTCCGGCGACGCTGGAGGGAGCTCAAGCAGGAAAGAAAGGAGCCCGGCCAGGTTGGCGATGCGGGCTCGGGCGTCGCTTGCTGCCCTCGGAGCTCCTCTCCGCAGCGGCTGCAGCAGCGCCAGTCCGTCAAAGCAGAGGTGCGCCGCTCCCCGACCTTCGCCCGGC